TTTCTAGAGAAGGAGTTTCTCTCGAAAAAAGTGAGTGGGAGGAAAGTAGAACTTGATGAGATAACTGTATCTACTCCCTTATTGGAAAGTAGTTCATCACAAGAACCGGTTCCTGTGACAACTACTCCAATTAGTGAGGAAGCTAATGATATTGATCATGAAACTTCAGATCAAGTTTCTACTGAACCTCGTAGGTCTACCAGAATAAGATCCGCACCAGAGTGGTACGGTAATCCAATTCTGGAAGTCATGTTGCTTGACCATGATGAACCTATGAACTATGAGGAAGCGATGATGAGCCCAGATTCTGCAAAATGGCTAGAGGCCATGAAATCTGAGATGGGATCCATGTATGAAAACAAAGTATGGACTTTGGTTGACTTGCCCGATGATCGGCAAGCCATTGAGAATAAATGGATTTTTAAGAAGAAGACTGACACTGATGGAAATATAATTGTCTATAAAGCTCGACTTGTTGCGAAAGGTTTTCGACAAGTTCAAGGGGTTGACTATGATGAGACTTTCTCACCCGTAGCGATGCTTAAGTCTGTCCGAATCATGTTAGCTATTGCTGCATTTCATAATTATGAAATTTGGCAAATGGATGTCAAAACTGCATTCTTGAATGGATTTCTGGAAGAAGAGTTGTATATGATGCAGCCAGAAGGTTTTGTAGATCCAAAAGGTGCTAACAAAGTGTGCAAGCTCCAGCGTTCTATTTATGGACTGGTGCAAGCATCTCGGAGTTGGAATAAACGCTTTGATAGTGTGATCAAAGCATATGGTTTTATATAGACTTTTGGAGAAGCCTGTATTTACAAGAAAGTGAGTGGGAGCTCTGTAGCATTTCTGATATTATATGTAGATGACATATTATTAATTGGAAATGATATAGAATTTCTGGATAGCATAAAGGAATACTTGAATAAAAGTTTTTCAATGAAAGACCTCGGTGAAGCTGCTTATATATTGGGCATCAAGATCTATAGAGATAGATCAAGACGCTTAATAGGACTTTCACAAAGCACATACCTTGATAAAATTTTGAAAAAGTTCAAAATGGATCAGGCAAAGAAAGGGTTCTTGCCCGTACTACAAGGTGTGAAGTTGAGTCAAACTCAATGCCCGACCACATCAGAAGATAGAGAGAAAATGAAAGATGTTCCCTATGCTTCAGCCATAGGCTCTATCATGTATGCAATGCTGTGTACCAGACCTGACGTATGCTTAGCAATAAGCTTGGCAGGAAGGTACCAAAGTAATCCAGGAGTGGATCACTGGACAGCGGTCAAGAACATCCTGAAATACCTGAAAAGGACTAAGGATATGTTTCTCGTATATGGAGGTGACAAAGAGCTAGTCGTAAATGGTTACGTCGATGCAAGCTTTGACACTGATCCGGACGATTCTAAATCGCAAACCGGATACGTGTTTTTATTAAACGGTGGAGCTGTAAGTTGGTGCAGTTCTAAACAAAGCGTCGTGGCGGGATCTACATGTGAATTGGAGTACATAGCTGCTTTGGAAGCAGCAAATGAAGGAGTCTGGATGAAGGAGTTCATTTCCGATCTAGGTGTCATACCTAGTGCATCGGGACCAATGAAAATCTTCTGTGACAATACTGGTGCAATTGCCTTGGCAAAGGAATCCATATTTCACAAGAGGACCAAGCACATCAAGAGACGCTTCAATTCCATTCGGGACCAAGTCCAAGTGGGAGACATAGAGATTTGCAAGATACATACGGATCTGAATGTTGCAGACCCGTTGACTAAGCCACTCTCACGAGCAAAACATGATCAGCACCAAGACTCAATGGGTGTTAGAATCATTACTATGTAATCTAGATTATTGACTCTAGTGCAAGTGGGAGACTGAAGGAAATATGCCCTAGAGGCAATAATAAAGTTATTATTTATTTCCTCATATCATGATAAATGTTTATTATTCATGCTAGAATTGTATTAACCGGAAACATGATACATGTGTGAATACATAGACAAACATATAGTCACTAGTATGCCTCTACTAGACTTGCTCGTTAATCAAAGATGGTTATGTTTCCTAACCATAGACATGTGTTGTCATTTGATTAATGGGATCACATCATTAGGATAATGATGTGATTGACATGACCCATTCCGTTAGCCTAGCACTTGATCGTTTAGTATATTGCTATTGCTTTCTTCATGACTTATACATGTTCCTGTAACTATGAGAATTATGCAACTCCCGTTTACCGGAGGAACACTTTGGGTACTACCAAACGTCACAACGTAACTGGGTGATTATAAAGGAGTACTACAGGTGTCTCCGAAGGTACATGTTGAGTTGGCGTATTTCGAGATTAGGTTTTGTCACTCCGATTGTCGGAGAGGTATCTCTGGGCCCTCTCGGTAATGCACATCACTATAAGCCTTGCAAGCAATGTGACCAAATGAGTTGGTTACGGGATGATGCATTACGGAACGAGTAAAGAGACTTGCCGGTAACGAGATTGAACTAGGTATTGGATACCGACGATCAAATCTCGGGCAAGTAACATACCGATGACAAAGGGAACAACGTATGTTGTTATGCGGTTTGACCGATAAAGATCTTCGTAGAATATGTAGGAACCAATATGAGCATCCAGGTTCCGCTATTGGTTATTGACCGAGAATAGTTCTAGGTCATGTCTACATAGTTCTCGAACCCGTAGGGTCCGCACGCTTAACGTTACGATGACAGTTTTATTATGAGTTTATAAGTTTTGATGTACCGAAGTTTGTTCGGAGTCCCGGATGTGATCACGGACGTAACGAGGAGTCTTGAAATGGTCGAGACATAAAGATTGATATATTGGAAGCCTATATTTGGACATCGGAATCGTTCCGGGTGAAATCGGCATTTTACCGGAGCATCGGGAGGTTACCGGAACCCCCCCGGGGGGTTATTGGGCCTACATGGGCCTCGAGGGAGAAGAGGGAAGGAGGCAGGGTGGGTATGGAGAGGCAAGATCTCAGCTGGTGAAGGTGTACACACGAGGTTTACGAGTTCAGACCCTTCACAGTGGAAGTAACAGCCCTACGTCTCGGTGCCCGGAGGCGGTCGATTGGATTATGTGTGTGATATTACAGGGGGGTTCGAACCCTTGTCCCAGAGGAGGGGGTGGCTTATATAGAGTGCGCCAGGACCCCCGCCCACCTCCATTACAAGGGGCTTAATGTACATAAAGTAAGGGGTGTTACTGGTAACGCCAGCCTTAAGTGTTGTTAATGCTTATAAAGACTACGGAGTGAACGTCCGACCGTTGTGGTCCCTTCTGACTCCTGGTCTTCGATAGGTCGAGTGACTCTCTGTATGGTCGAGTGACGGTAGGGAGGAGTACCTCCGAGTGACGTGGTCGTCGAGTGGATTGCACTCGACGTATTCGACTGGCGCTCTCATGTTGTCTCTTGGTCCTTTTATCTTCGAGGGTAGTGACCTTGGGTAGGACGTATAGGTCAGGCCTATGACCCTACCCGAGGTCTGTATCCTCATAATGCGGTCCTTTTCCTCCATCACTGCATGCGCTAGGACTACTCATTTATTGGTTGTGAGGCACACCGTGCATTAATTTCTCCATTAATTAGGCGTCGTAATTAACAACCAATGCTATTTTCAGTATTCCAATCACTAACCATCTTGGTCCCCGAGATTTTTCTAGCGCGCCATGTAAACTGTGACGGAGAGAGTAGTTACCTTGTTGCACTATAACGTTGTCAAGATTTTGAAGGCCATGGCACCAAGCCGCCAAAGCAGGAATACCTTGACAGCGCCGCGTCCCCGTTGATAAATGTATATCGACAACTCTACCAAAAAGGAAAACTAGGTCGAATTAGGAGCTGCATTTTTTGAGGTTGTAGATCAAAACATTGATGTGTGTCTACAAATTTTTTTTAAGAATGGTTGAACATTTTTCTTTCAAAAAAATCAATCTCATTGATCTCACCTAATATAAGATCTCACACAAGTCTTCCCTTTTTGTGCTGATTCCTGAGCGCTTTGGCACTCTACCCTAAGCCGGGACTACGTCGAGTGCCGAGTGCCCGCATGCATGCAATGGAGAGAAATACTACTAGTACCTCACGTGAATGCCTCGTCTCATGCAGATTCCTATGGCGTGGGCAGTGAGCAAGGCGCCGCATCCTTCAACCAGTAGATGCCGCTGCATGGTATCCATGAGTCTGTACACCCCTGGTCTAGCGAAGGTGTGATCGTGACTTTGCGTTGGGACTCTAATTTTTGTCACGGTGTAGCAGCACTTTCCTTGTGCCGTCCGCATGCATGCTATGCATGGGCCTACTTCCTTTATGCAAAGCAAGATCCCTATAAATACGCTCAAGCCTTCTTCTTATCGACACCAACAAGCAGTTCTCTCTTGCACACACATCAATCGATCACAAGTTCATCACACACAGCCAGAGCTCCATCCATCACCTCGCGTCGTCCACGGCCATGGCGCAAGTGAAAGCAGCACGGGCCACGAGGGAGGCCGTGCCCACGGTGTCCCGTGTGGCCATCATCGGCAGCGGGATCAGCGGGCTCGCGGCCGCCAAGCAGATGGCGGCCTACGACCCCGTGGTGTTCGAGGCGACGCCGTCCGTGGGCGGGGTGTGGAAACACTGCGTGTACCGCACCACGCGGCTCCAGACGCCACGCGCGAACTACGAGTTCTCCGACTACTCATGGGGCAACCGTGACGACCCGGCGTTCCCGACCCACACCGAGGTCGTCGACTACCTCGAGGGCTACGCCGACGAGTTCGATCTCTGGCGCTACATCTCGTTCGGGTCCAAAGTGGTGGACATCAAGTTCCTTGGCGGCGCCGAGGCCGGGTTCACCGAGCGGTGGAGCGGCACCGGCAAGGCTCCGCTCCAGGGCAAGCCCACGTGGGAGGTCGGCGTCGCCACCGGCGGCTCCGGCACTGTTCAGGCACAAGTTCCTCTACTTTGTATTCTTGTCATGCATGATTGCTTTTACATACTTTGCACCGACTTCTGATAAATTCAATCACCTCACGAGCATATTTTGCCACGGGAATGTGCAGTATTACAAGTTCGAGTTCGTGGTGATGTGCACGGGGAAGTACGGCGACGTGCCGCGGATGCCGGTGTTCCCGCCGGGAAAGGGGCCGGAGGTGTTCAAGGGGACGGTGATGCACTCGCTGGACTACTGCAAGCTGAGCAAGGAGGAGACCGTTGAGCTGATGAGAGGAAAGAAGGTTGTGGTGGTTGGGTACAAGAAGAGCGCTATCGATCTAGCCAACGAATGTGTTCAGGCAAACCAAGGTGCGTAAAAGCATACTCCCATAGTTAGCTAGCTTCTACTGTGTCCAAATTCTCCTAAGAGGAAGTGCATTTTGTTATCCCTCAACTTATGACAATTCTCCTACGAGTAAATTTTGTCCAAATTCTCCTAAGAGTAAACCAGGTTTTGGTCGAGGAATCCACTATTCGATATTAAGTGTTGGGACAGGAAGGTTGCACTAAGATGTGGCCAACACTGTGCCACATCAAGTTAAAATCACGTTTGACCAAGGAAGGTCACTGTCAAAGACTTGAGAGTTGGGAGGTTGCACTAAAAAAATTCAGGGACAAAAACCACATTTCTTGATAAGTTGAGGGATGAAAATGCACTTTACTCATCTCCTAAAACATGGATCGGTCGATTAACCGATTAAGTTTGCTTTGCTTTTTTTGTTGGGACCAACTATAAGTTAGGTGCCTGAAAATAAAAGTCCATCAGTCACTTCCAACCAGAGCCCTTAGGTCTTCATCCAACAATCAAAAATAGAACACGCATTGTTCATATTCTACCTCCCTCTCTTCTTGCTCGTGACACCGTCGGCCTGCCTCGCCCTAACTGTCAGCCTCCATCACCCGGGCCGGCCAGCGCTACCGCGCACAGCCTCTCTGCCCTGGCCATCCCTCTAGGCCTCGCCACAATAGAGAAAAACCCCGGCGCTCTCCTGCACCCCCATGGCTTCCCCCCACCCCTAATAATAGATAGTGGGGTTGTCTTCTCGGGCGACTTCTCTAGACAGGTCCCGTGTGAAGGAAGAAAAGGGGGAAGGAGGAAGGTGACTGCATGCGAGATAAAATTTCAGGTAGCTGATACATAGCACACCCTAGGTCTGAGTCGACTGAGACTTAACCAAGTCTCAGTCAAGTGATATAGTATGCAAGAAGAAAAAGAAAAACAGAAAATATTTTTTTGTATGATCCCCATGCAAAATCAAAGAAAGATAGTATCGACTGAGACATAACGAAGTTTCAATCGACTGAGACTTAGCAAAACTGAATAGCAAAACCTTGTTTTCTTTGTTTGAAGGTGACGGCGGGCAGGCGTGCACGATGCTGGTGCGGACCCTGCACTGGATGGTGCCGTCATACGCCATCTGGGGCTTGCCATTCTTCCTGTTTTACTCGACACGTTTCTCCCAGCTCTTCTACGAGCGGCCCAACCAGAGCTTCTTCAGATCCCTCCTCTGCCGCCTCATGAGCCCACTGGTATGTATGTGTACGTCATAATTCGCAGCCGTGAAGAACATTACTTATTGCACAAACCATGCATGCACAAATTTCTCATGACAGCAGCAACCATGCATGCATGGATGAATCTTGGTGGTGCAGCGGGCAGGGGTGTCGAAGTTCATCGAGTCGTACCTGTTGTGGAAGCTGCCGCTGGGCAAGTACGGTCTGACGCCGGACCACCCCTTTGTCGAGGACTACGCCAGCTGCCAACTGGCCTTCCTCCCGGAGGGCTTCTTCGACATGGCTGACCACGGCCTGGTGCGCTTCAAGAGGGCCCCCGACGGGTGGTGGCTCTCGGAGATCGGCGTCGTCCTCGAAGACGGCACCGGGGTGGAGGCCGACCTCGTCTTCCTCGCCACCGGCTTCGAGGGCACGGACAAGCTCCGCGAGGTCCTCCCTAAGCCCTTCCGCGGCCTCCTCGTCGACGAGTCCTCCATGATGCCCCTCTACCAGTACGTGTATAGTACTCCATCCATCTCATAATAAAAGATGTTTTTTGGCACTACATTAGGCCCTGTTTGGTTCATAAGTCCTATGACTTTTTTAGTCCCAACTTATAAGTCTCAAGTCCCTAAAAAGTCTCTACCTGTTTGGTTCATGGAACTTATAAGCCCCTATAAGAACATATTACAACTATAAGTCCTTATAAGACTCTCTTGAGAGTCTTATTTCATAAGTCATAAATGCCCACTTTAAGTCCCTATAAGTCCCTTTTGTTTGGTTTAGATGGGACTTATAGGGACTTTTTTAAGTCCCTAAATTAATAAGTCCTGAAAACAAACACCCTCTTAGTCATACGTTATTGGAACCGAGGGAGTAGCATGTTTATCATTAGTTACACGTGCATGTACCCAGTGCCTGATGACTGATGTGTTTGTGCAGCGGCACGATCCACCCGCTGATCCCGAACATGGCATTCGTGGGGTTCGTGGAGAGCGCATCGAACCTGCACACGTCGGAGCTGCGGTGCCGATGGCTGGCGGGGCTGCTGGAGGGGCGGTTCGAGCTGCCTACCGTGCAGGCCATGATGAGGCACGTCGCCGGCGAGGCCGACGCCATGCGTCGCACCACGCGGTTCTACCGCCGGCACTGCATCTCCACCTACAGCATCCACGACAGCGACGGCATGTGCGCCGACCTGAGCTCCGCCACGCACCGCAAGACCAACTGGATCTCCGAGCTCTTCGCTCCATACAACAAGGAGGACTACAAGCAACAGTAACTACATTTACTCGACCGCATCAATGGGCAAGCGTAGAGTACTTACGTGGTTCTGGGTTAATGTACTCGACCGCAGCTAGCTACAATAATATCGCTAATAAGAATTTCTATAGACGTACGTAAGAGCATCTCCAGCCGCGCTCCCAACAGGCCCTTCCCGGACGTTTTTGTTATGCCGGCGTCGAAAAAACGGCCCAGTCGCCCTCCAAAATCTCGTTTTTTGCCGGCTCAGACCGAAACTGATGCCGGCGGACCCAGGCAGAACCCGACTCCCTGGGGAGCGCCTGGGGCGCCGGCACAAGCGAAAAGGACGCGTGGGTCTGTCCTGTCGGCGAGTCGAGCGCCTCTTCCCGCCGTTTCTTCCCGCTTTTCCCCACTTCCCTCCCATTTTCTCCTTCCCTCCCGCCAATCTCCCTCCCGCTCGCCTCCCAGCCGGCCGCCATGCCACCGAAGAAGCACGTCGTCCCCCGTGCCGTGGCAACCGCGACCGCCTCCGTCGCCCAGCCGAAGCAGAGGAAGCCGAGGGCGCCGCCGTCCAAGCCATTGGGCATGACAAACGCCGATTGGAGGGTGGAAGTGCAGCGCCGGGAGGCCGTCACCGCCGACCGGCGGAACAGGGCCCTCGCCAAGAAGGCCCGTGACAACGCGGCACGCGCGGCTGCGGCTGCCGCTTCGGCGGACCAAGCCGAGGCCGAGGTGACTCGCGCGGGGATGATGAATCCACCCGGCAACCACGCGCAGTACGCGCCCTGGGGCCAGCAAGGCGTCGGGTCTCCGTCGCCACAGCCATGGGGATCATCTTCGTCGTGCTACGGCGACGGGGACGCGCACGGTGGGTTCAACCCAAACGTCACTTTCCCCCATGGACACCCGACCCAGCGCACGCCCTCGCCCGCCTTCACCGGTGTGCAGTACCCTCCATACAACTACTCGACGCCCGCGTACGCGTCCTCCCCGACGCCCACTCTCCGTCGTTGCGCGCTGCCCTTCTCGCACCTTTGCGACGTCGACGAGACCGAGGCCGACATGGACGACATCATCGCGGAAGGTTCGGCCGCGGCCGCCGCGTCTCCCGGGTTCACCGCGGATGAGACGGTGGATCTCAGCGGCGGCATGGACAGCGAGCTCGGCTACGTCTATAGCGACGAGGAGCAGGAGGAGCAGGAGGAGGAGGACGAGGGGGAGGAGGAGGAGGAGGAGGAGGAGCCGGCGACTATTCCGGCGAGGAGGCGCAAGAAGAAGAAGCGGACGGCTAGGTCAGGCGAGCCGCGCATCAAGTGGGCATCCAAGGAGGAGGAATGCCTCGCCGAAGCATGGAAAATCGTCTGCCTCGACCCGACCACCGGCACGAACCAGAGCATCGAGACGTACTGGGAGCGCATCAAGGCCGAGTTCGACGAGCGCAAACTTGTCGACCCCTACTTCAAAGGCATCTACATGCAGCGCGGGTCGAAGGCGATGGCGAACCATTGGGGGCGTATCCAGGGGGCGTGCAACAAATGGCATGGGGTCGTCGAGGAGGTCGCCGCTCACCCAGAGAGCGGCGCCAGCATTGAGGATCAGGTATGCCACGCCGGTCTCCCGCCTCCCTTCGCCGTGTACGCCCGCAAACTGTTTGTTCGTCCGCGCAGTTGCTGCGCATGTTCGGCCTGTATTGGCAGAGCAACAACAACGCCGAGTACAAGTACCTCCACATTTACAAGCACATTGACAAGTGCGAGAAGTGGGCGGAAGTCCGGCGCACCCTCGACAAGGCCAAAGAGACCTACAAGCCGGACGCGCCGACCCCGGGCGCATCAGAAGGGCCACCGGACGGCAACAAAGGTGCCAAGAAAGGGAAGCACGCCGATGTGGCCACCGATCACGTGCAGGAGTCCATCCAGCACTGCCTCACCGATGCACAGGTCCGGGCCGCCCTTCGTGAAGAGAAGACCGAGGCGCGGTGGTTGGCGTTGATGTCGAGCAGCGCCGTCAAGCTCGACCTACTCCGGACCAACGTCGTCACGAAGAAGAGGAACACCGACCTGGCTTTCCTACTGGGTGGGGCGGACATGCTCCAGAGTACCGACGAGGCGGTCAAGGCGTGGTACTTGGCGGAGCGTGGCCTCATCATGAACCAGCTTCCCTCGACGATGCCGCCCACGCCCACGACGACGCTGCCCACGCCCACGACGACGCCGCCCACGCCCACGCACACGCCGACGCCGCCGCCAAGCCCGAGCGATTATGCCGCCGACACTGCCCGCAGCACAGAAGCCACGCCGACACCGCCAAGCACAGAGACCCCGTCAAGCCCGCGCACGCCGACTCCACCGACGCCGGAGGCCGACCTCGCCGCCTAATGCGCGCTTCCGTCCTTTCTATTTTTTCTATGCCAAACTTTTCATCCGATCGCCGATCTACTGGCCGCTTGATCGCCGGCCTGTGGCGTCTATTTTGTGCGCGGGAATGAGACTACGTTTGAATTTGCCGTGGCTGGGGGGCGGCGCCTGGGGGCGTGGCTAGGAGCTATGCCGCCCCCAGGGGCCGATCTAGAGCCGGTTCGCCCCCAGGCCGCTCTTTTTCGGCGCCCTGGGGGGCTGAACGGCTGGAGATGCTCTAATATGCTGAACTACTGCACTTATTTCGACCTCTGTGCAACGGGTGGGATGGGGGGGCTAACCAGGAGAAATCCATGGCTGGTCGCGGTGGCGGCACGCCGTTATTCCTCCCATTTGTCAGGTCAGCCTCCCTCCACCCACCATCATCTAGCCTCCCAGGTGAAAGCGCTTGATGGGCGGTGGCGGTGCTCTCGGTGCCGTTCTCTTTCTTGCAGGCGAAGCCTTTGCGAGTTGTTTGGTTAGTGTGCGTTGTTGGGGTGCATTTGGTGGCGGCCGTGATGTGTCCTCTTCGTCCAAGCTTGATGATATCCCTCCTCTGCGATCAGGCCGTGGCAGTTCTGCTTGGGGGGAGCTTTGGCGGCTCGTCGGCTGCCCGTGGATCCTCTCTATGTGGCCATCTTCCGGCCACAACCATTGTTGTTCTAGGTGGAACATCTCCATCTTCCGACGGTGCGGTGCTTATCGAGCTAGGCGAGGCGATGAGGATGTTGTATCCTCCTTCGGAGATGGAATTGAATAGTTGCGCTGTGCTGGGATCCGTAGTTGTTTGGTGATCGCATTCCCTGTTGATGTCGGGCATCCCTTCTCCTCTGTGCCAGCATGGTCCTAGTTCCCTAGTGCTTCGTTCTAGGAGGAGGGCCTCGATGTCTTTAGCTACGTGCTTCTCTGATTTATCATTCTAGTTTGTAGCTTTTGAGGCTCTGTTAGCTGCTTGCTAGCGCCTATGTATCTTACCGTGTTGTATTTCCTTTCTTCGGTTCCATGTGATCTATAATCCAGTCCCATTTCGGGGTGGTTGATGTATTTTCTCTTAAAAATGTATGTAATATGCTTCAACTATATTGTACCATTGTGTAAGTTGTTATATTTTGAGAAAAGCTTTCGTCCTGCTTTATAAATAAAACTACTAGCAAGTTGTTGTGTGGCGAGGTGCTGGCCTTCTGCGCCTGTAGTGGCCGGCTGATGGTGCTACGGTCCACGTCTTGGTGGTGATGATTCAGATTTGATCGCACGGATGGTGGTGACTGTAACTGTACTGTAGCGACTTCCTACGGCTTCACGATGGCGGTGATCATCGAGAGGTTTTCGGGAGGGTTCATCTCTCCTGATCTAATGATTAACTTCAGTGGTGAGCTACAAATTATGGATGACGGCTTGACGGAGAGGGGTGGTATCGCATCGTAAATAGTTGCGGGGATCACAAAAAATGGTGGCGACAACATATCAGTGACCTTGATGGTGGTGCTATCAAGCACCCGGTCTCGAGTTTTAGGACGAAAACCTAGGTTAGACCGAGTGGTTACACCTGACAATGGTGATGGTTTCCTTACTTTATTATTAGTCGTTATCTTGTTGAAGGCATTGCTCAGTCAGATTCTTGAGGGTGAAAACTTAGATTATGGTCTTGTGGTTGGATCCGACGACAGCGACGCTTGAGTGTCTCTTCGTTCCTGAAAGCATTGTTGTTAAAGAATCTCGTCGTTCATGTGGTGTCATGAGATGGTTGGTGTGTTAGGGAACGTTGCAGAAAATAAAAAATTTCTATGCTTCACCAAGATCAATCTATGGAGTCATCTACCAACGAGAGAGAGGAGTGCATCTACATACCCTTGTAGATCGCAAGCGGAAGCGTTCAAGAGAATGGGGTTGATGGAGTCGTACTTGTCGTGATCCAAATCACCGAAGATCCTAGTGCCGAACGGACGGCACCTCCGCGTTCAACACACGTACGGTTGGGGAAGACGTCTCCTCCTTATTGATCCAGCAAGGGGAAGGAGAGGTTGATGGAGATCCAGCAGCACGACGGTGTGGTGGTGGAAGTAGCGGGGAATCTCGGCAAGGCTTCGCCAAGCTCAGCGAGAGGGAGAGGTGTTGCGGGGGGGAGAGGGAGGCGCCAGGGACTAGGGTGCGCAGCCCTCCCTCCCCCCCTCTTTATATAGGGGGCCTGGGGGGCGCCGGCCCCCTAGAGATCCAATCTCAAGGGGCGGCGACGGCCAAAGGGGGGACTTGCCCCCCAAGTCAGGTGGGGCGCCCCCACCCCTAGGGTTTCCAACCCTAGGCGCAGGGGGAGGCCCAAGGGGGGGCGCACCAGCCCACCAGGGGCTGGTTCCCTTCCCACTTCAGCCCATGGGGCCCTCTGGGATAGGTGGCCCCACCCGGTGGACCCCCGGGACCCTTTCGATTGTCCCGGTACAATACCGGTGACCCCCGAAACTTTCCCGATGGCCGAAACTGGACTTCCTATATACAAATCTTCACCTCTAGACCATTCCGGAATTCCTCGTGACATTCGGATCTCATCCGGGACTCTGAACAACTTTCAGGTTACCGCATACTAATATCTCTACAACCCTAGCGTCACCGAACCTTAAGTGTGTAGACCCTACGGGTTCGGGAATCA